TCCTCTGCGAGAAGATGGTGGATTACTCCCTCCGTGTTGCTGCTCCAAGTGAGGAAGTTAAGTATTTCAGGATCTTAATCTTGAGTGATGATTGAGATGGACCAGTGGATGAGTGCAATTGCAGTTCTCTTCCACGTATCCTTATCAGGGTAACGGGGGGACATTCACACTTTAGAAGCACCTATTAACTTAATCCCACTAATTGCATATCTTTGAACTGTGGGAAGAAGCGTGGGAAAAACACACACAAACACGGGAAAAACATACAACCAGCCAAATGGTGGAGTCGAATGCAGGCAACAGTGCTAACCACCATACTACTGTGCTGCCCAGTAAGTAACATTCACAGATCATTTTCTGTGGAACAAGAGTCACGAGACCTTTGTGATTGATCAGATACAGCCAACACTACCACTTTTATGTAAACATGCAGGGGAAACCCTGGGCTAATGTGACAGATAGTCTCTCTTGGAAATGAGATTTTTAATCTCAATGAGATTTTTTACCTGGATAAACAAAGGATTAATAAAAAATAATAATAATAAGCTTCATGTGAACATTTATCCTGATCATAAATCTTATGGTAAGTGAATCCAGATAAGGGAAAGATACGTTGCTTCATAGCAACTGATCACAGTCAAGTAACGCGGGCCTTTAATGTATTCCTTTTTTTTTCTTTTTCCCCCCCTTCACAGATGACCTGTTGGAGTTTTTTCTTTTAAATTTTGCCTTTTGCATGCGCAGAGTGTATGAATAATGCCTGTTTCCGATTAAAGATGGGATTTTCTTCTTCTTTTTTTGGGGTCCTCTGTTCCATGATTCATTTATTTATGAAGAAAATCAAAGAAGTAATATATCTCATCTGGCCTGTGAGAGACTCTTAATTCTCAGGGAGGAACTGGAAGATACTGTTGAGGAGAATAATGTGTGGAGCTTAGCCTGCTGCTACCGTGAATGGACAAATCATCGAGGTGGGTGACAGATGGATAGTCTGGTCTACTCAGGTGTGTTCTGTTGCAGATCTGAATGTTTTTATCGAAGTGAACTAAAATGGTGAACGTTTACCTCCATTTGTGTCTGTCAACAGGGTCTGTCGACCGTTTCCTAAACAACACAAAGTAAATTCAGAAAATCAAACAATAATTAAATAGTTGAAGGTATTTTTATATGCAGTAAATTTAAGAGCATGAAGCTCTGAGGAATTACCATCAGCTGAATCAGCTGCATCTGTGAGGACAAATACAGCACCAATATGAAATATGGTTAACAGATAATGAAGGATCAGGACTATTGATATTTTCCTTAGTTCAGGTGCCAGAGAATGTGTCTTTTTTTAAATGTAAGTTTAGAAAAAAAGAAACAACATTGAAAATTCTACAGTGGAGCTAATGTAAAGTTTAAAACCTTTGGGATTACATTTATGCTACAGTGTGAGATCACCTTTCTGGTCTCTGAGAGCTTC